AGCCGGGCCGGCCTTCTGGGGCGCCGCTTCCGGCCAGGCCCAGGTCGGGAGCTCGCGGAGCCACCTCCAGACACCACCCATGACGTCAGCCGCGTACCTGCACCTGAAGCCGGCGTCCGACCTGGGCGTTGCCTCTCGGCGGCTGAGTCCTGGGCAGTCGGCCGCCCGGATCTTGTCTTCTGCACTAGTGTGATGAGAACAACTGCGTGGTGTGCTTGAGGGGCTAGTGATGAGATGTGGTTGCTGAAAAGGAAAATGTTCGGCTCATTCTACGTAGTATTCCATTCGTAACGTAGATGACAGTCCAATGCAAAAACCCTTAAAATAGGAATAAGGGTGAATGTTGCTACCACTTGTCTGAAGCAGTTCAATGTAATGTAGAAAAAGTGAGAAAACCCAGAACAGCAAAGGGCAGTAGCAAATTTCCATTTTGGCAAATATGAGGAATATTTTGTTTTAGGACCACGTGTGTGTGTGTGTGTGTGTGTGTGTAAGGGATATCCCAGACTTTTTTCCATTTTTGCCAGTCAACCAAATTAACAAATCATGACTACTGCATGACCTTAACATCAAACTTGTTGGAGCATCGTCAGGTAAATTTTTTTCAAATAAATACTATAGGGCACACACACTCACTGCAGAGAGAGGGAAAGTGAGAAAACAAGCTGCCAGGTCCGGAACTCCCATGTAGGATTCCAGCATCTTAGCCACCGCCACTTACAGGCCCCCTGGAAGTTATTTCTTTAAAAATTATTTTCAGGCTGCAGGGGAAGCACCTGGAACCCTCCTAGGAGGTGCAGCCCAAGATGCTCTGGCTTGGAGAGACTTGGGGGGTGTCCATGGGAGGGTAGAGTTGCCTTCTGCTCCATGACAGACTGGGAGCCCCATTGCGGGTTCAGGATCTCTGGCTGGGAGCAGCCTCGAGGGAGCTCCACCTGGCGCGGAGGACAGCCTAGAGGGGAAATCTGGCCTGCAGGAATGAACAAGGCTCACCCTGCATCAACCTCTACAAACAGTAGGGGGGTGATTGGCCTCATTTCATCTGTAATGCTCACCTGGCACTGTCCTGGGTGGCCATCCAGGGACGCTGAGCCTCAGCCAACCAGTGAGCCTCCTCCCACATAACCCAAGACTGAAAGCAGGGGCCCCAGAAACACTTTCTGCCCCAGGAAGCCCCGGTTTCTGTTTCCTCCCAGTCAGTGCCTTCGCAAGCACAGGGGTTTCTCCTCAGCACCCACCATCGGTACAGCCAGGCCTTGGGTGACTAGCCAAATCCCAGCCTTGAACGATGTCTCAGAGTGAAGATGGAGTGACCACAGCTCCAGAAAGCTACAGCTTTGCTCCAAGTCCTTTTTAGAGCAAGTCCTCCGTTCGGGAAATTAAAATTCAGGATGTCACCTTGTGATCTTTCTGCCTCAACTTCCCCAGCATCTGAGATCATAGCTTTGCATCACCACAATAGCCCTTCCAGGTGGACTGGAAGCTGCACTTAGAAACTCAGGCCTCTCATGTGGCCTCAGCATGTCAAGCAGCAGTGTTCAGCATGTGCTTTGGTGCTGAACCCTTTTTTTTTTTTTTTTTTTATGAGAGAAAAAAGAGAAAAGGGGAGGGACAAAAGAGTGAAGATGGAGTGACCACAGCTCCAGAAAGCTACAGCTTTGCTCCAAGTCCTTTTTAGAGCAAGTCCTCCGTTCGGGAAATTAAAATTCAGGATGTCACCTTGTGATCTTTCTGCCTCAACTTCCCCAGCATCTGAGATCATAGCTTTGCATCACCACAATAGCCCTTCCAGGTGGACTGGAAGCTGCACTTAGAAACTCAGGCCTCTCATGTGGCCTCAGCATGTCAAGCAGCAGTGTTCAGCATGTGCTTTGGTGCTTAACCCTTTTTTTTTTTTTTTTTTAATGAGAGAAAGAAGAGACAAGGAGAGTGACAGATATTAATTAGCTACTATTCCAGGTGTGCACAGCTGCACCTGGTGTGTTTAGGTTGACCTGGGACCTGTATCTGGGTCTCTCATGCATGCTCTACTCTCCCACACAGTGAACAACCTGTGTGCTACCACACTTGGCATCAACCATTTCTGAATAAACTGTATGTACATTATTGTATAACCATTCATCTTTAGATGGCTTTTCCTCTTTCCCAACTTAACTCAGTACCTCTAGAACACTTTCTATTCTCTTTTGCAGCCTCTGGAAATCAGATTGAGTATCCACATCAGAAAATCTGAAATGTAGTATGTTCCAAGGCCCGAAACATTCTGAGCACCAAGATGTCAACGTGGAAAAGTCCACGCCTGACCTCACATTCCAGGTGGCAGTCAAAATGTGGAAACACAAAAGCATTGTACAAAATTATGTTTGGCCATGTGTACAAAGTGCAGGTCAAATGTGGGATAACTGTTTAGATTTGGGTCTCATCCCTAAGATATCTTGTTTTGTACAGAAAAACATTACAAAACCAAAAAAGCAAACATTATCTGAAGCACCTCTGCTGAGGGTGCTCAACCTATATTGTACCCTCTGTTATGAGTTGACTGGTCTGGGAACCTCATATAAGTGGAACAGTACTATATTTTTCCTTTCGTGCCTGGTTTATTTCACTAAAGCATGAATTACTACCGATTCATAAAAAAATATTTTGAACACAAATATGCTATTGAAAGTGAGTTTACTACAAATCAACACTCAAAGCATCATAAAAGCATAGAAATTCTAATGGTTTTATTTTGAGCATTTACATTTTTGTCATTATTTCCAAACTGTCATAGCTCAAGTAAAAGTAGGCAACGAAGTAACAGGCTGACTTTCTCCTTCTTTCACTTTGTTATATTAGTACTGTAGCACTATGACAAAAAAATCTACCTACTTGAAAACATAACTGTGGTCTAAACTTATATAATGATGGATAAAGAGCAAAGAAGGTAAATTTTTAGATCTACCCATTTCTGTAAAACCTGGGAAAATAAAACAATAATTTTTTTTTTTGAGAGGCTTTTTGCTATAGGGCACGTGCACTCGCCAGACAGACAGAGACATAGAGACAGAAAGTGAGAAATCCCCCCCCCCAAGGGGGGATGGTCACGCCACAATCCCTTCTCCTCCATTCTCCTTTTGGGATCTTGGGCACGCACACATAAGCGCCCAGTGTGAGATTTAAGCCACCGGGTCTGGGACGCGAACCACGGTCGACTATGTGGGAATCCAGCAACATAGCCATTACGCTAACTGCTGGTTCCCAACAGAATAAAAATTTTATAATCAGGAATGTTCATTAAATAAATAAGACTTTGGTTATGTCACTGGACTCCCACTCAGTCTACTGCAGTTTGAGTCCCAGACCTGGCAGCTTAAAACTCACACCAGGTGTGTGTGCGTGTGCACCCAAGATCCAAAGAATGGAGAAGGGATTGCAGCATGACCACTTCCCCAAGGGGTGATTTTTCACTTTCTGTCTCTGTCTCTCTGGCGAGCCCATGTACCAATAGCAAAAATCTCTCTTAAAAACAAGACTTACTGGAACCAGCAGTTAGTGTAATGGCTATGTCTTTGGACTCCCATGTAGTCAACTGCGGTTTGTGCCCTGGGCCCGGTGGCTTAAAACTCATGCCAGGTGCGTGTGCATGCGTGCCCAAGATCCCGAGAGGAGAACGGAAGAGAAGGACTGCGGCATGGCCATCCCCCCTGGGGGGTGATTTCTCGCTTTCTGTCTCTGTCTGGTGAGCACACGTGCCCTATAGCAAAAACCCTCTCAAAAAAAAACCAAACAAGAAAAAAACAAAACAAAACCAAGACTTATGCTTTTAACATAGCTATATAAATATATATTCTAGTAGAGAATATATTTCAGGCTGTCACACCCTTCAACTAGGATGACATATTTTCATCAAAAATGATGCATAAGGGGCCGGCAGGTCACATGGTGTCTCACTGGACTCCTACACGGTCGGTCACCATGGTTTGAATCCCAGACCTGGTAGTTTGCTTTCTCACTTTTCCTCTATCTCTCCCTGGTCAAGTTTAAAAAATAAAAAAATAATAATAATAAATAAAATTAAATAATTATTTAAAAAGAAAAAATAATGCACTAGAAAAATAAGGGGATATAAAACACATCTTTGGTTTATAGTAAACAGAAAAATATTAAATAATGGTAGTGGCTTCACTTATAGAGCCCAATATGTAAGATACTATGCTAAAGGGTTTCCCTATATTCCTCTTCATAGCAACTCTGAGGTACTACTATAATTACCAACATTTTATAGATGAAAAAACAAGGTAAGCTTAGAGAGGTTAAGTAACTTGTTCAATAACACATCCAATAATCAGCCGAGCCTGGCTTCTGGGTGGCTCCATGGCTCAAGAGAATACAGATCCCACAGGGTGACTGTGGTTCTAACCTTGGCCTGGTCAGCCTGAAACACGTGGAGTGACCAAGATCCAAGAGGCTGGAAGACTAAAGGAAAGGGATCAGGGCATGACTAGGCCCTGTGGAAGGTGGCTCCTTTCTCTTATTCTGCTGCACCTGCACATGTTCTATCATAAATAAAGACACAAAGTAATAAAACAAAAACAACAAAAAAGACCCCAAAACTCTAGGTAATCTGATTCTAGAACCTAGTTTTAATTATTCTGCCCCTTTGAGAATGAAAACGTTAAAAAATAGAAAGCTCTGGGACCAGCAGTTGGCATAATGGCTATGTTGCTGGACTCCCATATAGTCGATCATGGTTTGAGTCCTGGACCTGGTCAGTGGCTTAAACTCACACTGGGTGCATTTGTGTGCATGTCCAAGATCCTGAGAGGAGAATGGAGAAGAGATTGCAATATGGCCATACCCCCTGGGGGTGATTTCTCGCTTTCTGTCTCTGACTCTGTCTGG